AATTTTTATCGATTTTCGAAGATATTGCTTGGTTCGATTTTATGCTGTCGTCGGCGGAAAATATTTAATTGAAATAAAAAAGAGCTGTGAGCGGGTCATATCTGGTAACACAATTTCCAACCATAGGCAAAGGTTGGAAACTAACTCCTTTGGATGCTCAAGTGATTCGAAACTTCTCGTGATGTGCATGCAATTACGATTTGAGGGGCGAAACTAAAGCACCATCGATACTCTTGCTTTTTACTTTTTTTGTACTGATTCTGCTCTCACCAGCTTATCTTGTTGCATAACTGATCACTCCACCGATTAACATATTTAAATAGCGAGTCATGTAGCCACGTGTGTTCCGTAACATTAGGCATCGTCTAGGAGCCTCTAAACAGCGAATAAAAATGAAATCTAGTTTCCTACGAAAAATTATTTTGATTCAAGTTTTTCAAACAGAGTCGCGCCAGGAGGCTGTTAAACTTGGAAGGCTTACTTTTTGGTATTTTCCATTATCTTACAGTTGAACAACGGCTTTTCATCTTTTCAGCCAAATGCAGATGTCTATAGAGTTCACTCTAATTTTCAAATTGAGCAGCATCGCCAGCTACGCAGGCTATAGATTAAATGTCACTTACCTCTAGAATTACTCACTTCCTATAGCTAAATTGCTCAAAAATTAGAATTTTACCTTGAAAAAGAACTCATTTTGGTGTTCCGCTCCTTGTGTCCGACGTGGAGGAGGTGCAAAGAGAAAGTAATAAACTGATTCGCGTCGACGTCTTTTATCGCAGAGTGTTCACGCGTCATTTACCTTGTTCAGTCCTCCAATCATTATTTACGACTGTAAACAACACGGCACCCTAAAGAGTTGTTTTTCTTAACAACCAAAATAATTTGAGCGGAATTAGTGCAGAATACTATAAAAGTGTTCACATTACAGGACAAATCGGGTTTTACGAAGAATCACAAATCAGCTGTTACGCGAAACGCAGCTCAGTTTTCAATGGAATTCAGATT